TTTGCTTCTTACTCCTCCAAGAGATCAGGTTACCTCCTACAAAAGCAGAATATCCAGAGGTAGACCTTCTATCATCAATACTCCCAGCCCAATCAGCCTCTGTATAAACCTCTATCTTCATGTGATTATTATTCTTGAATAGTATACCTCTACCTGGGCACCTCTTCAAATATGCTAATATCCTCTCAACTGCAAGTAAGTGAGTAGTCCTAGGGGAGTGCATATACTGGCTGAGACCGCATAATTGATGTCCGGTCGTGTGAGACAAAGATAGAGGAGTTTTCCAACTAACCGCTGGAACATAGCTTTATCTTCAAGTGGCTCTCCACTCTCTGCATTGATCTTGTGATTCTGTTCAATAGGTGTATCTGTAGGCTTAACACCTAACTTTCCAGTTTCTTCTAACAAATCTAGAACATACTTTCTTTGGGAAACAAAAATCCCATGTTTAGATCTAGCTACCTCAATACCCAAGAAGTATCGTAGCTCTCCCAAATCTTTCACCTCAAATTCTTGATGAAGGAGTTGTTTGAGAGACTCAATTTCACCATTATCATTCCCTGTCACTACAATATCATCCACGTATACAGCAAGCAACGTCAAGGAAGAGTCCACTCTCTTAATGAACAATGTATGGTTTGATTGGGCCTGTACATAGCCGAACCTTTCAAGGGCTTGTCTGAATCTATCAAACCAAGCTTTGGGGGACTGTTTTAGTCCATACAAAGCTTTATTCAACCACCAAACCTTCTTTCCTGTGTTTGCATCATAAAATCCAAGAGGCAACTGCATGTAGACTTCTTCTTGCAAGTCTCCATTGAGGAAGGCATTTTCGATATCCATCTGGAACAAGGGCCAAGAGTAACTGGCTGCAAGGGACAATAAAACTCTAATAGTGGACATCTTTGCTACTAGAGCAAAAGTCTCTAGGTAGTCTATACCATAACTCTGAGTAAATCCCTTTGCAACTAACCGAGCCTTATAGCTTTCAATGGAACCATCAGCATTATGTTTCACAGTAAATACCCATCTACATCCAATCAGTTTCTTCCCTTTAGGCTGGTCAACTAGCTCCCAAGTATTATTCCTTAGAAGAGAAGAGCATCCATTTCAACCTTCATTGCATCTTTCCACTCAGGAACTGACAAGGCCTCCTGCATTGTTCTGGGGATAGGAATATCAACAATAGATGTAAGGATGGACCTGTAAGAGGGGGACAAGTGATCATAGGACAAGAATTGGGAAATGCAGTGGGCTGTGGATGTGGTGCAACGCCGTTTGCCTTTACGGACCGCAATGGAAGGGCTCTTGATCTGGATCCACAGAAGGAACTGGGGCTGTCCTGGATTGCTGATGACCGAAATCAACCTGCCTCACTGCCTGTGATAGACTCACAAATCCCGACACCTCTGACACCCCTCCCCATTACATCCTTCATCACTCAATGGAACAGGTAAAAGAACTTCTGATGAGTTAACCCCACACTCACTACTTTCTCCCTGAGGAGAAACCCTAGGATAATAGGGTACATCCTCGAAGAAAGTAACATCCATAGCGACAAATCTTTTCCCAGAAGTGGGTTCATAACAACAATATCCCTTTTGAGTTTGTGCATAACCAAGAAAAAATACATTTGGAGGCCTTAGGATCAAATTTGGAATGATGAGGTCCAAGAATCTGAACAAAGCAAGTACAACCAAAGGTTTTAAGGGGAACAATAAACAAGTCTTTATYAGGGTATAGGAGGGTAAATGGAGGCTTCATGTCAAGAGCCCGTGACGGAACTCGGTTAATGAGATAAACTGCTCTAAGAATAGCATCTCCCCAGAAACGAATAGGTACATTGGAATTAAACATGATGCTTCTGGCCACCTCCAATATGTGCCTATTCTTCCTCTCAGCAACCCCATTCTGCTGTGGTGTATGAGGACAAGTACTTTGGTGGATACTCCTATGGTTAAGCAAATAGGAGGCTAATTGGTTGGCAAAGTATTCTTTCACATTATCGGATCTGATGATTTTGATTTTGACCCCAAATTAGGTTAAAATCATCTGATGAAAGATCCGGGTCAAAGTAGGAACCTCATCTCGAGAACGCATAAGGTAAACCCAAGAAAATCGAGTATAGTCATCAACAAAAAACAAGAAATATCTGTAACCCCCATAGCAGTGATGTGATAAGGACCCCAAACATTGGTATGCACAATATCAAAAGGATTATTACTTCTTTTATTACTCAATGAATAAGATGTTCTACAATGCTTTGCAARHTCACAACTCTCACATCTCAAATTGGACATCTGAACAGACTCGAATAAATCAGGATACAAACTCTTCAAAGTTCAAAAAGATAAATGGGCCAACCGATTATGCCAAAGCATAACCTGACTAACAGACTGAGAAACGAAAGACTTCCTATCTTCATTATCTTCCCAATGTGAACTCTCTCCAAGCAGATAGATCCCATTCGTCTCACGGCCAGTCCCAATCACCTTCCTTGTCTCCAAGTCCTAAAAAACACATCGGTAAGGGAAAAAGGTTACTCAACAATTCTGATGTTTTGCAATGCTACTAACTGAAAGCAATTTAGTATTAAGCTTAGGAACATGGAGAACTGAAGATAAGGATATGGCATTAGACAACTTGATCTCTCCCTTGCCAGAAATGGGAACAAGGGAACCATCAACAATGGACACCTTATCTCTGCTAGAAGATAAGTGATAGGTAATGAATAGTGGTGGCAAGCCAGTCATATGTTCATATGCACCTGAGTCTATTACCCAACAATGTTCAGTGTTACTTGGAGCTGAAGCGTGATAAGCTGAGGCCCAAGTACCTGAATGAGCGAAAGCTGATGTGGGAGCTGATGGTGGCTGAGATGATTAAGCTGAATTGCCAACTTCCTTTTCCAACTGAGTCAGGCAGCCCGGACAGCAGCTAGGGTGTCTAGGGGTGTGCCTTTTGTGCCCGATGAGGAGGCACAATCAGTATTAACAACCATATTAACATTACCCCTTTTGTTCCTGAGTTTTGCTGGGACTAAATAAGGGTGCAACTTACAATAGGTGTCTTTAGTATGCTTGGGTTTCTTGCAATGTTCACATTACTAGATCTCACTTGTCTTCCTTCTTTATATCCCTCTCCGTATCACCCCCGGACTTAGGTTTGACTACTGCCAAGGCTGGTGGGAAGGGCTGATGCTGCATCATAACCTTTCTCCTAGTCTCTTCACTGTGCACTAAGGAGTAGGCTTGTGATAGGGTTACATTGTCTCTTGTCAGTAGTTGCTGTCTCCACAATATCGTACTCAGGATTCAAACCAGCTAGGAACTCAAAAACCCTATTAGTCTCAACCTGCTTTCTATGAGTCTGTGCATCCTTCTGGCTTTCCCACTCAAGTGTTTCTTGATGGTCAATTTCATGCYACAAAGATTTCAGTGTAGAGAAGTAAACCGAGACTGGTTTATCTCCTTGCTTAAGGTTGTTAATCTCACATTTCAGTTCATAAGCCCTAGCAACATTAAGGGGTTGGGAATTGGTTTCTTTCATGACATCCCAGATTTCCTTAGCTGTTTTCGCCCACAAATAGTTCCGGCTGATATGTGGCTGCATAGAGTTGCACAGCCATGTCATAACCAAATAGTTCTCCTGAACCCATTTGGTATAGGTTTGGTCCTCCTTAGTTGGTTCTTTCACATCTCCCAACAAGTAGCTCAGTTTTCCCCTACCCCCAATGGCCATCATGGCCGATTGAGCCCATTCTAGGTAGTTTGGTCCATCAAACTTAACCGTTGTAATCTGAAACGTATTCTCAGACATGTTACCAGAATTGCTAGTCCCAAAAACACATTCTCCTTGACTCTTGAACTCCATTCTTGATCAATAAATAATAAAAAAAATTTAAACTTTTTAATTACTGTAATAGGAGAAACAACACCCAAACAACTTATTACAGTTGGCCTAGTTCTTCCAAAGAACACCGAAAACAGAATTCTGAATGAAACCAGTTCAAATTCTGATCTGAAACAAATAATAGTTCTGAATTTTTTGGGTTTTCTGTCAAAACCCTAAAGAAAACACAAAAAATTCTGAAGCCACACCTCTCAGACTAAACCAAGATCATCTTTTCTGAACTGAATCGCAAGAAAAAGCTTACTTTATGAAAAAATCTCTGGCCGCCACCTTCTGGTTGATGCAAAACCCTAATCTTGAGGATTTGAAGCTTCTTCTGATTCTTCCTGACTACTGGAACTCTCCCAGACTTCTACAATCTCTTTAGTAGCAGCTGCACACTACCAGTAACCTCCAAGAATCAGCTGATCCTCCTTCCTTGTTGAAAAACTTCCAAACCTAGGWGGTTCTCATGCAGTCGGCCTAATCAGACTAGCATAAGAGCTCCTAGGTCGGCTCTGATACCAAGTAGTCGATCTAGACTACAATCAGTCTTGAATTAAAAGAAAAAAGGATGAAAAAATTGAAGAGAAGAAGAAGAGAAGAGAGGAAGAAAAGAAGTACACGAAGAGAGTTTCAGAAAAGAGAGAGTAGGTCATAATTTCTGCCGACCCTCTCTTATTATTTTTAACTATTGGCTAACTGTAAAAGGGCTGAATTTCCCTTATTGCTTACATGGCAAATAGAATAAGAAATAACTAATAATAAAGCTGAAATAACTACCAACTAACACTGTCATATCTAACAGAAATATTGCTGCCATACGATCACTGTGGGGACCACATCAGTGTTCTTTACAAACATTATTATGTTTATGCGAAAACATGAAACTTTCTTGTTCCTGCACTTAGGTTGAATGGTTCTTTGAGAGAATATTTGTTGAATAGATGTTATATCCTAATATCTACTCGGTGATTTGCTCATTGAGGTTAATAAAATGCAAAATTACAGTTTCTGCTCGGTCATTGTCCAACTTTTACTGATTTCTGCATGTAGCAATTGGTCCTAAAGATCTGCTTTTGTGTTCTTTTATTTTTTTCCTGTTTCAGGCCATAGATTTTGCAGCTGTATCAACATTTATGTTGGAAGCACTACCCCTGACTAAATCATTAAATGCAGAAAATAAAGGAAGTATGCCTTCACGATTATATAATTTGTACTACATTTCTTTTCTCTAGTTATTTTTCTTGGGGGGGGGGGTCACATCTTCATATTACATTAATATCTGAGCGAATTATGAAGTTGATTTTGTAGGTCCCCTAGCTTTTGTTTATTATAATACGTTCCATTGATATGTATTATTCTTGTTTATTTATTTCAGATTCCACATTGGGTGAGGATGAAATGGATATTGATGAGGAAGTTAAGCAAGAAGTTATGAACTCTGATTTGGAACAACAGATCTCCAATGCAATAAATCCACACCTTCTTCAGCAATTGGTAGTGCCAACTTAGCTCATGGTGTATCTGTCTCCATAACAAGTGATACATTTCATCATTCTTTAAACTCCAAAACAACAAGTTTACATCATGTACTTCTGGTTCTAATATAAATTGCTTTCTTTTATTTTCATAATAAAATTGCTTTTTCTTGGGCAGGTAAATATTTTGTTCAGAGGCACTTCATTCCTTAATTATTCACATAAAGATGGGCCACAAGATAAGGAGGTGGAAGCGGTTGGTGCAGTCTGTGCTTTTCTGCATGTTACATTCAATACCTTACCTCTTGAGCGCATTATGACTGTACTAGCTTATAGAACTGAGCTTGTTCCTATTCTTTGGAACTTTATGAAATGGTGCTATGAGAATCAATGGTGGCCGCCTTTGTCTAAGCTAACATCCTATCCATCAGGAGATGCCCCTGGTTGGCTTTTACCTTTGTCTGTCTTCTGTCCTGTGTACAAGTAAGGTTACTTGTTTGGATTTTTCTCTTTAGAATTAAAAACTTTGGTTTTCTTGCAAGTAATTGATAGTTTGGATGGGTGGGGTGCCTTTTATCCTGGTTTTGTTTTTCTATTTTATGCCATCTTGAAGAAGGTTTGTCCTAGTTATTATTAATAGTGTTGTGAATTTATGATACAACTTGCCTCATGAAGATTGCAATTTTTGTGATGCATCAGGCATATGCTCATGATAGTTGATAATGAGGAATTCTATGAGCAGGAGAAACCACTTTCATTGAAGGATATTAGAGGCTTGATTATTATTCTTAAACAGGTAAATTCATGTTTAACACAGATTATCTGTATTATGTCATGCACTCTGGTGCAGTATAACATTAAGACAAGTCTATAGAAAGCAAGTGATTATGATAGAGACACAAGGTGGTAAGATGAGGAACAATTTGTAATAATCGGTTAGGCTTTGGAAATTGCTCTAAATGACTCTAATTTGTAGCTTTAGGATAAATCTGTGAGTTGTAAACCACACCTACAATAATTTGAATTAAAAGAAAAAGAAATAGGAGAAAAGGAGATTGAAGAGTATTGATAAAAAAAAAGAAAAGGAGATTGAAGAGAGAGAGAGAAGTGATGGAGGAAGAAGATGGAAGAAAATGAAGAAGAAGAGAGTTGTTCTGAAACCTCTCTTCAGCCCCCAATGATCTCTTTTATTCTTTTGTTGTAAAAAATAAGGACAATTACATGAGTGCCCTTAGTAGGGCGTCCATCACTAAAGACAGCAATAAAAAATAATAAAAACAAGAAAACAGGCCCATAACTAAGGCTCACTACCTACTAACACAAGTCATAAACATAACTTAAAGAAAAACAAAGAAACTAAGGCCCATTTGGCCCGTTATCTCTACACCGTGAAAGCGAGTGAATTTGCTATAATCTATGATCAAAGGTATTGATACTGCAAAATACCTTAAATTCAGACATTAACTACCAATTAACTTTTTATGCATTTTTTTTGCATCCCACTGTTGAAATGAATGGATCCTATGATGTTACCTTTTAATTATTAATGTTCTAATGCACATTTTTCTGCAGGCCCTGTGGCAACTACTTTGGGTAATTCCCGCAAAGTCCAATAACTTGGTTAAATCTATAACCAACGTCTCCAGTCATGGAAGGCATTCTTTGGAATTCATTCAACACAGAGTCAGCACTGTAACATCTGAACTCCTCACACAGGTAAGTGAACGTACTACAGTTCATTGAGTTTCTATATCCTTCTCTGCATTAACTTTTAAAGTTCTTTGAACTTTGTTATGCACTTCCATCATTACATAATTTCATTATTTTTTAAATGTTGGTAGCAGACTCCTATATTTCCTTTACCCTTCCAGCTGGTCAGTTTTAGAATGTATATGTCTTTGTTATGTACTAAGATATTACTTTTTTGCAGAGTAGCACATTTTCTTTTCTCCCTTTTTTTATTGATCTATGTACTTTGCTATTTCAGTTGCAAGATTGGAATAATAGACGACAATTTACATCCCCAAGTGATTTTCATGCTCAAGAAGCAGTTGATGAGGTTTTTGTTTCTCAGGTATAGGCTTCATACTTGCATGTTATTAGGGGTGATCATTTCCAGCCCAAGCTAGAAATTTCTGGGCTTGGGCCTAGGTTTTGTGTCTAGGCCTGGTGTAGTCTTGGGCTCGCATCGAACCCAGAAATTTTTGGGCCAGGATTGGGCCCAATACCTAAAGCTTGGTCTGGCCTGCAATATATATTATTGCATTTTATATAATATGCATATTATATCAAGGTTTTTAAAACCGACCCGGACAACGAACCGGTCAGGGGTCCAGTTCCTGGGTCGAATAGTCCAACTGTTTGAACCAAACGGATGACCTGTTCTGACAAAAAAATAAAAAGTAAAAAAAATAAAATGGTCAAAACCGTTGAACGGTTTGAACGCCCGGGTCAACGGTTTGCCAACCAAATCAACGTTTTTTTGGCAAATATCCGGTTTTGGAGAAAATCAGAACAGGTCACCCGACCGGTTCCTGGTTTTTTTGGTCCAACCGTCCGGTCCGGTCTGGTTTTGAAAACCATGTATTATAAACTATTTATAATATGAAAAAACATATGTTATATAAAATATTTTATATTTATAGAGTAAAGCATGAAGACTATTTTCCAAGTAAGAAGAAGAGGAGAAGAGAAGAGGAGAAAAGAGAACATTGTGAGTGTTGAAAATAGAATTGTATATATTCCTAGGATTGTGGAAGGATTGATTTAGAAA